TGATTGGTCTAATAAAGAGCTGAATGACCAATAACAAGGCAGGAGAAAGGATAGGCGGGGCTGGCAGGCAGAGAGAAGAGAGGAGGAAAAATCTGAAATCTGGGAAGAAAAGATGAAGGGCGAGAAAAGAAGGGACCAGCCACCCAGCCAAACACAGAACAAGAAGTAAAGATAGATATACAGAAATAGAGAAAGGTAAAAGCCCAGAGGCAAAAGCTAGATGGGATAATTTAAGAAAAGCTGGCTAGAAACAAGCCAAGGCTGGGCTGGGCGTTCATAAGTAAGGCTAAGCCTACAAGTATTTATTGGATCCTGGCATATGTATGCCCACCCACACTCTCACACACACACCTCCCGGTCCCCCACCTCCCCAGTAATAATAATGATGATAAAGAAAATAAATTCAGGAGCATCTGTCACTCATATTTTCTTCCTTCCAGACCTTTACCTATTTTTCAGATTGTTGGATCTCGAGCATGAGATGCTCATTTTTTAGCTATCGTTGCTGAATAGAGTACTTTGTGAAGCGCAGTCTACCCCATGTAAGCAGGCCAGTGTCTTCCTTCCCAGTGCAGCTTAATGCAGCTTGCCGGTCCTGGAAATCCAGGACTGGCACGGTTCACACTAGGTCTTTCCCCTCGCTGCCCCCCCCCCCTACTGCTGGGGGTGAGGTATAGACACATGCATCTTATGTTCCCCTGTATTAACATCCCATGCTTTTGTGTTAGGATTTTTTTTTTTTTGGTTTTTCGAGACAGGGTTTCTCTGTGTAGCTTTGCGCCTTTCCTGGAACTCACTTGGTAGCCCAGGCTGGCGTGTTAGGATTTTTTAATCCAGAGTTTAAGATTTATTTCATTTTTAATTGTGTGTGTGTGTGTGTGTGTGTTGTGCAAATCACCTTCCTACACTTACTGTTCTCTTAATTTTGCATGTATTAATCTTTATACGTGCCAACTGGTTTCCAGTTATCTTTCGAGTAGAGTTGGACTAGAAATAGACTCTGAGGAGCTGAGGATGCAGCTCAGTGGTAGAGCGCGGACTTCGCCTGCCTGAGGCTGTAGAGCAGTGCTCAGCACCTAGTGGAGTGGGTTAGAGCCATGTCTACTCACAGGCACAGAATTAGACTCAAATTAAACTCGAAATAACCAGTTCACCTAGGATAGAGTCCATTCCAGAAGTGGCTGTTTTGGCACCCTGCTTTGTTTCTTCCGTAATCACCACGATGTGCATGGGTTACTTCTGAGTTCTAATATGGCACGGCCTTGTTTTAAGTGTGTTCTCGATTGTTCCTCTTACTTACTCCTGCTCACACTCATAAACGGCTGCTGTATTTGACATGAAATATTATAACTAGATGGACTTAAGGAATTTGAATATGCCTTAGAGGAAATTAATAGCATGCGAAAGATTTAAAGAGTTTAGATGACCCGAGGTGGAGGTAAGAAAAGTAAGTTATCTCATGAGTATTGCCAATACCTGTACATCTGTTTTTAGTGTTTATTTTTTTGGATTTATTTTATGTGCATGAGTGTTTTGCTTACGTTATGTGTGTGCACTGCAGGCATGTCTGGTTCCTGCAGAAACCAGAAGGGCATCGGAAACCTTGGAACTGGGGTTATGGATGGTTGGGAGCCATGAGGGTCCCGAGACTGGAACCTGGGTCCTCTGCAAGAGCAGCAGGTGCTGGTAACCCCTGGGCCACCTCTCCAGCTGCGTTTGTACAGACCTCTGAGGAAAGAAGCAGACTGAAAGCTACTGTCATTCCACTGGAGTCAGGAGCAGATCGTTTAGGTGGATTCATAGAAGTGGAAATGTGCCTATGTTCCTTCCATCGGTTCCCCCCCCCCCATAGTGTGCGAACTCTGCTGTCAGGGCAGGAAACCTGGGGCGGGATTCTAGTCTCCACTTGGTGCATAGTTGTGCAGTGGACAGCACCTGAAGTCCACCAGCTGTGTCTGGGCATCTTCCTGTGTGGCTTTCTAATCGAAGAGTTATATGCCACTTCCTTCCGTGTGTACGCTTCTGCCAGTTCCCGGGATAGGGGGAAATACCACATTCTCTTTATTGCTTAATGGTCAGACAGAAGAATACTGCTACCACTGCCCTTGGTTTTTGGAGCATTGTTGGGAGACGCTGTGGGGGATAAATGTGTCTCGCAGATTATTAGCTGTGAGTCTCACTGGAAGTCGGGATTGAAACTTGGCCACTTTTCACTGTCCTTTCAGAAGTCTCCTTTTCATTTGCAGCTCCTGTCATTCAAATCTCATTCTAGTGCAGGTTAATAAGTGTTGAGATTGTGATTAGTGTTAGTATATATGTGTGTTCATATACAATACATGGATCTTACCAATATTACTGTCTATAAATATGCACATAACAAATGTAGTGCTAAATATGAACTGAATTTGTTAACTCTGCAGTATGAAACATGGTGAACACATTGTTACAGAGTTGGCTGAGCAGTGAGTCATGAGTCAGGAATGGCTTGTTTGCTCAGTGAGGGAGAGGTTTTAAGATGTCAGGTACAAGAGCACCTGAGAGCGTGTTGAGGCCCTGTGTTGAGAGAGAAGAGAATGAAATGCTACACAGAGTGTAATGCAGAGTAAATTTGGGGGAAATAAATTTGAGAATACTAAAACCAGATTAGCAATTTACTTAGGAGTTGCTTGTGGTGGGGCATACCCTTACTTTCAGGACTTTGGGGTTGGAGGCAGGAGGATCAGTTTCTTGGCTAAGTAGGGAATTAAGGCTAGCCTGGGCTATATGAGATGCTAGATTTAATAAAACAACGACAAACTCACAAATCCCTCCAGCAGTCATTGAGTCCATCTATGTGGTCTTTATGAGCAGTTTCCATCAGGTAAGGTCGTTGAACAACTTCATCTGTGTACGTTTGCTAATTATTAAACATGGAAATGTCTTACATTTTCACAAATATGAAGCTCACATTTTAAGTTATTAGTAAAAGTTGGAATTCCATTATCATCTTGTAAACAAGATATTTAAATACAATTTAATTTTAAGTTAGACAAATCCTAATACCTTTCCTTGCACCTCATTTTATAAATGAAGCTAAAGCCCGCAGTGAATAACAGATGACTGTCTGGTTGCCATTTTAGCTGGATGTGTCATCTAGATGTGCTTAGAGCGTCTACACTAATTCCCTTCAGTCATGTTTCTAAGAGGGAGCAAGATACACAATGGAATGGGGGGGCAGGGGAAGAGGAAGAGAGTTGTTGGGTTAATAGCTGTGAGTTATCCTTTCATCCTTAAGTTATTGCTTCCTTTGTTGGGGAGAGAAGGAATAGGAAGAGCAGTGTTGTATGCTCCTTACATGCCAAGCTGGTTGTTTATGTGAAAAGCTCATTTCCTCTAGGAAAGGTTGCCAGTCTCCCAAGACTGAATCTCCCCTCCTTACTGCTCGGCCGCTCTATCAGCAACCACTACAGAGCAAGGCTTGTTCGTTATTTACACTACGGCTGTACCATAGCAGTGACACTTGCAGGGTGTTATATGGGAGAAGAATTGGTCTTTATTGTAGACGGCAGCAGGAAGAAAACCCCAGACAATGGGTAGAAATGAAGACTGCTTAACATAGGAGATAGCCTTGCAGTGGGACTCAAAACAGGCAGCAGCTGCTCACTTTGCAAGCAAAGTAAAAAGTTGGGCAGTCTTACGTGTAAAGGCTTGTTTACAAGGCTGAAATTCCAGGACTTACAGTTACATCGTTGCTTATTTGTTTCCTGGTTTTTGCCATAAAGGTTACAGTTTCATCTGATGCGCTGCTTCTGTGCTCTGTCTGGGCGTGGACCAGCTCTGTGTTAGGGCTTGTGCTGATTCCTGTCTGCCCATTGGTGCCTTTAAGTCTGAAAACGGCTTGGTCTTTGTTCCTTAGATTGTATCTGCTCCTCTTTCCTTCTGGTGTGCCTGTTACGTCTGTTAGAGCCTCTCGGCTTGTTCCTTCTTGCGCTCAACTGCTCTGTAGGGCTTTTTCTTCTACTCATCTGTTTATTTTTCTAACTATGTCTGCTCTGCTGCCTAACTAATAATACATAAACATAATCATACATCGGATTATGAATACCAATCTTTGTGGCAGTTCATTTCATAACAGCAAAAATAGGAATGAAGGTGTTTACAGTCTGCCCATCAGCAGCAGATTGAGAAATACACTTGCTATATAATGGAGTGTGATATGGAGATAAAAATGGGCACATTGTAGCTATGGGCAACAATGATTTGGGTGCATCTCAGAAACATAATGTTGAACAAAACCCTAGAAAGCGAAATGATGTGTTGCTTAGGGCTTGTACACACTTGAGGTAAAGTTGTTAAGATAACAAGAGAGTCCATTCAGACATCATCTGACAGCGGAGTGAAGGCAGAAGTTGGGGTATCCAGGAGAGCCTCAGGGTGGTGGGGTGCACGTTGTCTTATACTGGGTTGTGTTAATTAAATATTTTGTTCTCATTCTTTCTCATATATACAGATTTCCTAAATTCTTTTTGTACCTATTTGATATTAATGCAACTATTTTAAAGAACTTAAATATACTCAGAGCATATGAATACAAATATAATTTAATTACCAGTGTGGTATCATTGAAAAAACAGATTTATAGAGTTTAGTTGACTTATTTAGATAAGTGTTGGATCTTTACTTGATTTGTTAATAGGCGTTTATAAGAGCTCAAAGCATCATGATCTTATTTTCAAATATTAATCTGATACATTGCTTTTGCTCATGATTGCTAATAATTCCGTAAGATAATTATACTTCAAACCGGTGTTAAATTGAAGTGCAGGTCTCAAGCAAACATCTTAGCATCACAGCCTTGCTTCTAATCTCTGTGGCAGCAGTCCAGCCATCCGCCGTGTCCGTAGTGCCTGGCCTGACCCGCAGCCGATGGCCTTAGCTCTTGATCGTGTACAGCTCACGTTACTTTAGGTTAATCTTTGAAAACAGGACCTCCAGCAAAGCATCTTGTATTCCTTTTACAGAAATGTTGCTGAAGTGCTGCTGAAGGGCCAGAGATGCAAGGATCTGGGACGCATTTGCACCTTTAAGCTGTCTGGCCCTGACCTCCTTTCATTATTAATAAGGAAGAAGCAGGAGCTTAGGATGTATTAGCACCAGCTCATTGCTGTACTAACCGGACAGTGCTCTGCAAACGCCTCTGCACTCTAAAGAACTCTCGACTGGCGCAGCACACAGTCATTTCGCACTTTCTCAGCTTATACTATGACTCGATGGAGGGAAATTTGATAAGCATGAGGGAAGACCATTCTTTTCATGTTCGCTACAGGTAAGACTGCTGCTCTTAGCGTGTGGCTCTTCGTCTGTTTAGACATCTCTCTAGCGCTTGTCCATTTCAGTGTTCAATTTCAAAATTCTCAAAATATGCCAACTAAATCTATTCTGCAAGCAGTTTGGTGGTGGTGGTAAGTTTTGTATACTTTGGTGGGAAAACGGTGGTAGAGACCAGATGTTCTGTAACTTATTAATATTCTCTGGGAGAACTTCTGAAGAGCTGCTTTGTATTTTGTAACTTGTGCATTGTAAATATAAAAATCTGTATCTTCAGACTGTCGTGGGTAATGGTTGGATGAGCTGTTGTGACAGTTTCTAAATGGTGGTCTTTTCTAGTTGGCCTTTCACAACAGACGGGTTCAATCAAGTTGGAAGAGTAGATACTTTCTAAACATGGCAGATCAACAGGCAGCGTGATGTTTGGTAATGAAATACTAATGACATGTCTGATAGGAACAGAGCAAGCATATTTCTGTTATTTGACATTTATTCTAGAAGTTCTGGTCCAACCATAAAACAGTGACTCAGGTGATTATGTAACAGAAGATCCTTTCTCAAAACGTGTTGATGAAACAGACACCAGAAGTTCCTAGTGATGAGGAGAATTCAAATCAGTGTCTGTCTCTCTGTTTCCCTCCTCAGGGGGATTGAATCCATGGCCTTGTGTGTGGTAGTCAAGTGCTTTGCTACTGAGTTAACAGTCTCAGCACTCAGACTCTTCCGTGTGAAGGTGTTTGTACTAAATCCTCCATCACCCCCCCCACCCCACCCCACCCCACCCCACCCCCGTAAGGCAAGGTTTCTCTGTGTAGCCCTAGCTGTCCTGGAGCTAGCTCTGTAGACCAGGCTGGTCTTGAACTCACAGAGATCTGCCTGCCTCTGCCTCCC